TTCATCATAATTCAAAAAGTTACTTATGTTGGTTGTAATTAATGGTGAGTGGTTTTCTGTCTCTATGTGTGTTTCTGTTTCTAACTATACATCAATTACAGTTTACACATACCATAATAAAGTCAACATTATGCCATAACTTGTTATCATAGGATGCTATAAAGTCAGATTGGATGACTCTCTAACGTGCTCTACTTTGCTCTGCAGGTCAACCACATAATGTGTTAGCAGTGGAGACACTTTTCTATTAATTATTACTTCAACATTAGCATTTCTTTACTGACTCAAGGCTGTTTCCTAAAATAGCTTGTATGAGAGAGAGTATTGTATGAGAGCAGAGTAATGCCAAACCATTGCAAGGTAGTTAAGGCCTATCAGCCTGATCACAGCTCCTGCGTTGTGTTTTGTGGGGAGGTTTTAACGTCAGATGTTTGACCAGGGAAGTCTCTCTCACGAGGAAGTATGGGAGTCTCTTCCTGTACCACCTGCAGGAGTGGCAGAGGAAACCCTTCCCTGACACCAGCCTTGCTCTTTGGCATCCTGCATTAAGTGTCTGTCCAAAATGCAGGAAAAAAGTATTACAAACACCTGCTTCCAGTGCCACTTTGAACTTTTCTACCCTGCCAGGCACACTAAAACTTGAAGTTTGAGTCCTAACCTGGCTGTTAGCAACACACAAGACAGCACGCAAAGAACTTTACGAAGACGGGATTAACATTTGACTCTACCTAACGTAAAAACCTCAAGCATGTATGAGACACACAGGCAAACACTATAGTACACTCAGTCTGAAGCACACCTTATTTTAGACACTGTTTGAGCAGTAAATGATATTACACGTGGATTGTTTCCTTTACTATTCCTTCAAATTTAAACCCACTGTGAAACTATATTTTCATCTCTCTCTTCCCTAAGTGGAGAACACGTCTGGAATACATCAATAGCTGAGGACAGTTGTATATTTCGGTGGAACACAGGAAATGTGTCATATTTCTCATCATGCTATTACAAGCCAGAGACTTGTCTTCCTGCAGAATGAAGAAGACTAGATATACAGTATAATGTACCAGTACAACGGTTAGATATTTATTCTGGTATACACAAAGGAAAGACTATATCAAGCAGTGGAAAAATGGTTAAATGTTAACACAGACAATATGCCTTTATCTGCAAAAACTAAACCGCAATATAAACACTACGATTCATTGATAAGAATCAGTGGTTTTGTTTCTCCTGAAGCATTGCTAAAATATCAGGATATGGTCACATGAAATCCTGGCAGTTGTAATGTTTGCTCCAGTTCAGCAACATTATACCAACTCAAAGATTTGATACTCTAGCCAGCAGATGGCGACAAACCCTACTAGACAGATGCTTCATGCAGGACAGCGTCTGCTCTGAAAGAGGACACATACAGAGGCAACAACTGTTGGTTCTGTGCTTTTTGGCAGGTATGTTTACGCTCGAAACGAAACCACTATGAAATAAACAGGCCTTTAGAGCGTTCATCACCAGTTTACAAGCCGTACGCAGAAAGATCTTTTATCCGAAACACATTTCTCAATTTCTGTTCTTATAAAACAAGCTTATCATGAAAAGTCTTAAACAGGAAACATTTAACTGCTGTTCCACTGAACGCTGGGACAGTTAAATTGTACTCTAGAGACACAACAAGCACACTGAGGTTTGAGGTGAGTTCATGGGAAAGGCCTGCTGGTCAGGGTTTTCAGTCTCGGCCCCTTGGCTCCACAGGACAGGCTCTCAGACATGTGTTTCCATCAGGAGGTGGTGAACATGCCTGGAATGAAAACAGGCCAAGCGAGGTGCCTGTTTGGACAGGACTAAGTGATAACATCTACCGGGCCACTGTGGGATAATATTTTGCAGAGTGTTATCAAAGCTCCCACTGGGGTGCGAGAAGCGAGCGGCCTTTATCATAAATTAAGTTACGCTTAATGCTTTCTTGACACAGCACAAGGGTAATGGCTAACCTAGATTAAGATACAGAGATATTTTAATGGCAGAACAAACTTCTTTGTGTCCATTAATTCTAATCTCACACAAAAGACTGAAGGGTGAACAAATGGCGCACAATAACACAAACATGATGTCGCCTTTTGTCACAGATCGAAACTCCACGTTGTCCTCTCAGCCAAATCTTTCAAAGAGAGAAATAACATTTGTAAATTCTCTCTGAAGAGGAATGCAGCTTTTGCTCCACTGTGTTTTAGCAAGGTGCTCACTGCAAGTAGGGTATACTGACTTTAAGAGCGAGGAGGAAGGGCACTCTTTTTCTGAAGAACAAATAAAATCATATCAAGGCCTTTATTTTACTGAGTAACACCGAATTCTGTGTCAACAACAGGTTGTTATGTTAGGTTTTAACTCACAGGACTCCTGTCTCTGTAAATGAGGAGTTGGTATATCTACGGCCCTGTCCACAAGGACAAGGACAATTTTGAAAATGCCCCCCTCCCCTTCGTTTTAAAATAAAAAATCCCGTGCACAATAAAAATCAAAGTCCAAATGAAAAAGTGAAAAAGGAACATGCCAAACCAACAGGTGCCGACATAACCATAACTCTAAAGCCATTCAAAGAAGAAGAGTTAGAAGATGTTGGCTGATGCTACCTGGAGCAGTGACCACCATTTTGCATTTTGATACCTCTGTTCCTCAACTTTTTTCTTTTCCCCCAAACTTTTTTGCAGGTCTGCGAACACAGCGCAGGCCAAACTTCATGAATCATTTTTTTCCTCAGCAGCAGTTTGTTGAGTTTGATTCACGGGGTGGATAATTGACCAGTCGTTCTGATCACGGCTGATTCAAGACACCTTTTAAACAAATTAAGCACTGCAGCTAAGCATTGCATGCAAGTAGTATATATATGTGGTGTTATGTAGAAATATGGTTATTAGAGTGAGTTAAGTCAATCTACATTTTGCCAACAGGTAAGTGCAAGTATTGGAAATGTGGACTTTTACATAGAAAGGCTTCACTCATTTTCACAATAAGAAATTAAAAAATGGATTAATGAAAACAGTTAAAATGTTTGTAATAAAGACCTCACAAATTCAAATATAATATAAGGTCTTATTGTTGTAAGACATTTTAACACTTTTTTTAGGGACCTGTAGACACGCTGAGCTGCTGCAGAATGCAAACTTTTAGCCCCAGCTCTACGAACAATTACGTTTCACGTTCACTGCCTCACACAGTCTGCTGCTCTGTCTGTCCACACAGTATGCTCTGCACTCTGAGAGTGGTGCAATGAATAACTGAACGGTACATATATTTCAATAATGCATAGTCCAATTCCAAAAATAGATAATCAATACGTGGCAGCAGATGTAATCATGGCAGGCCGCCACAAATAAATGAAAGTGTAGGAAACCCTGCATTTATGTTATAAACCTGTAAAAAGTCCCGTTAGTGAGGTTAGACCCGGCACTACTATGCTCACGTCCACCACTGCACAAAATGCTGCCTCATTTCTGACGCCTCATAAAGGAGATAACGACACACACTCTGATGCCTCAAGCCAAAATCTGTTTTCCCTGTCCGCAAGTCAACACTGAAAACTGAGTTTCTGAACATCTTCCTCCTGAGCGGAGTTTTACAAAAGCCTTTTTCAAGTGGTCTAAAACGCAGACTGCCTGTGGACCAAAGCCTAGATCATACAGACAAAGCTGTTTTCAAATACACCCATGTAGTTCCCACATTCATGTCATCGTTTCCAATTCAGATACAGTGATGATGTTAGACTGCACACAACATGCAGTGTCCAAGTCTTTCTGGACAGACTCGTTGCCACGTATGAAACAGTGAGATTAAAGTCAGCACAATTCAGGTCACAACAGCCCCGTAGACTTGTCACTGTCAAATTAACTCAAAAATATAGATATATATATATATCTGTCTCTGATAGGAGATGGTTAATTCTGTCTGTCCCATCTGTTACACTGCCAAGCAAAACCTGCAAAATCCAAACTTCCCAACTACGTTGTTCACTTATTAAGCTGTATAGTGTAACTGACTTGCTTTCAATCTTATTTCCACTTTCATCTGCAACATAGGTTTCTTTAAAAATGTTTAAAGCATGTGAACTTGTTGACCTGTAATACATTTATAGCTGTTTGTTTTCAGCACACCGCTAGGTTATATAATTATTGTGCTGGGAGACGGCAGAGGACAACACTGTTGTGTGTATCCATGCATGCATTCACAGACACATGCATAGCTAGTGCGCCTGGAGGCCTATCGGCAGTGCCCATTCCTTAGTTTCCATCTGGTTTAGCACCGGCACTGAGTTTAGAAATTAAAGTACACGTCAATATACATCTGCCGAATTCTCTTCTCCAATGGAGGAGGAGGAGAGGAGGAGGAAGAGAGGACTAGCAGGACGCCTGGCAGACACTGCCGGTCACTGGCATCATCGAGAAACACAAGGACCATGGAATTAAAGCTTTATCTCTGGATTACCACTAAATATAGACGCTTGGGCTAAATCCAGCGCAAAGTCCATGCCATGTACGTCCTCTGTTTGTTTCCACGTATTGCATAATGTCATGCTCAGCTTGGTAGTACAATGAGCGGTGATGCAGCAGGGGGATCTTCATAGATGTGTCGGCGTGGAGGGAAAATAACCGTGTGTGTGCTTGTAAGCATGCACGTCTGCGAGGCCTGCATTTATCTGTGTCAAGATTATAGGGATTTCTTACCCCAGTTGCCTAAAGGAAAATTCTGCTCTGTGTATGGCTTCTGGGTGATTTCCTGAGTCTTGAATGAAAAACATTTTAAATTCATTATTTTGGCCAAAACAAAAAAGGAAAATTGTCCCCAATTCCACAACAAATTACAAAACCCTCCAGCCTGGAAACAGGAGCTCGAGTAAAAGTGCTTGTGTATGTATGTTCATGCTACAACTCCAAAACCCAGAGCACTGGGTGGATAGGAAATTAGGTCATTAGATGGCAGCATTCAGTGATCATATCAGTAAATACCTTTAAAAGCAGGCAGCTTCTGCAGCTCCCTGTTGTTGCTCAAGCTGAAACGAGAGGAGCTCTGCCTCTTGTCCTTTTTGACAGGTGTCTGCGAACCTGGCTGCTTCCCCTTCAGCAGCTGAGTGGTGGGAGGAGCACTGTTGCTGGCCTTCCTGTTCGAGCTCTGCTGAAACAAGAGGAAAAAAAAAAAACCACATTAGAACATGTGGTGCACAGGGTGTGAAACAGAGTGCATGCACCTCTTGAGGAATCTGATAAAAGTGTGTGACTGCCATACACTAGACGGGACATTTTAATTATATACAGTGTGTCACCTGTTTCCTTAACAAGGCAGCGACATGCATTGTGTAACCAAGGTCATAAACCACACTTTACCAAATGTACAGACACCATATATTTAACAGTACATTTATCTGGGGACATTCCAAGTTCACATGGACAAAACAAACCGTCATGGCTTCTTTATCCACTCACCAACCCACCCAGCTGTGTCTCAGGGGACTTATAAAAAAAAAAACGGTTAGTAGGGCAGGATATAATCCCGGTGTGGGATCAAGTGAACATGGCAAGTTTCTCACAGCTGGTCCCACCTGCCCGCCGCGATCCATTCATCAACACACACCTGATGGCGCACAGCTTACTTCGCCACATGCAGCTGTGGAGCCGTGTCAGTTGGAGTCTCGGGGGAATTATTAAAGTCAGTTAAGACCCTGATAGAGTTGGTCACAGTCTGCAGCGCTGTAAGATGGGAGCTTAAGAGCTGGGCCACTCGCAAGCTGTCTGGTTGGGTGGGAAATAAAGCTGAGCTGGCCGCTACAAGGAACTAGATTACATATTCATGTAGTGCAAAGACACAAATTAACTCTTAGATTCTTGAGCCAAAGTCGTATCTGTCATCTAGGATTTTTTAATGTAATACTTTGAATGTACCTTTTCACTTTCTATATGTTATAAACATTTTCTGCGGTCTCAAACCCTGTAATGTATACAGTATAATGTCAACTTTTTGTTGCAATAAAATAAAAATCGATTACACTGTTGGTGCGTCTTACATTACAGTAGGTGCTCCCAAAATTTTGCTGGTCAGTGCTACCTTGTAAAAAAGTTAATTTCAAGCCCTGAGAGGGTTGATAGTGGAGGGATATCTTTCTAAATTCGCAGCTAATTAACAAAGCAGAACAAAACATGGTTCGGGGAATCCATGCAAGATAAATGTAGGTGGTTTTATTTTGGCATCGTTGGGCAAAAATCCCATCATAACATTTGAGCATATTGTAATTTAAGAGCACCGAGAGGAAACTAGACTCTCTCACATCTACTTGGATCTGTTTTTAGGCTGTGATGGAACACTGTGGCCAATCACAAGTCACTTCAGAGAGGGCGTTCCTATTGGCTGCTCTACAAATGCAGATGTGTGTACTATTTAGTGTAAGCCTGACACAACAGCAGAGAGCCCTGCAAAGAAAGTTGCTACTTCAACACTGGCACCAACTGCCAACACTGCAGAGCAACCCAAAGGAAAAAAAATAATCTCACAATAAACAAAATAAAACACGTCAATATTGGCGACGCGTTTCAGAGATGGAGAGAAAATGTTGCTAACAGTTTAGCCTTTTGCTACAGGAGTGAAAGGCTCACAGCTGCAGCTTCAAGTTCATGTTAATGTAGCTAACGTTAGCTAGGGCCTAAAATCACTGTGTGGCCACCACCTCTCCCCACTGCTACAGACCAGCTTGCTGGGAAGAGAGCCGGCAGCAGCTCCAGAGATGTAGCTGCAGCAATCTGAACCCAGCCAGCGCTAACCCCCAGCTCCTGGGGACCAGATAGCCCCGACTGCCTGCCTGATCAGGAACTGTCTGTTCCTGGCGCTGCTGTGAAACCCAGCACTGGGGGGGGGGTTTGCACTGGCCAAATTCAAGCCACTACAGCCACCAAGTGAGAGTCCATTTCCCAAGCTGCTGTGCGTTCTCCTCCCAGGGAAGCAGTCCACAGCGGCACGGAGCGAGGTAGAGAGACCGTGGGCTGGATTATCTTGTCCTTGTCTCGTCTGTGGTCTGATTAACAAATAGAGAGAGCAGGGCAACGAGGGGCCTGAGCGGAAAGTGCTACAGGCAACTCTACAGTGACATAAGATTACATAAATCTAGGTATGGGAAGCGCTGGGTTACTGTATAAAGAGCGAGCATATGCCTGAGATCAACTGGTGGGAGGGGCTTGAGACAGAGAGGGGAGCAATGCAGGAGGAGTTCTGCCATCAAGAATTCTGCCTACCCGGGCTTTTAAGTGGCCTTTAAATCAAATATACAGTCTTGTCGTAAATGGGTTTTAAAATGGGGAGCTATAACTTCTTAAAGCCTTGCAGTGTGCACCAGACTGTGTATTACAGCAGCCACTAAAACACGAACAGGTGGTCAACAGCCCTCACAATATGAATATTAAATGTCCTGTAAAGAGGAGGACTACATTTGGCTGCACCGACAGATGTCAGCTGTCAGAGCAGCCCTGAAACGGGTGCACCGAGGATTTTACCTTCCAGTGAGAAGGAAAAGCCTCCGGTTCTTTGAAGAATGAAGGTTGAAATCTTTCCATGATGGTTCAGTGATGTTTATATATGTTGACTGAAGAGGTCATGGAAGACTTTTGACTTAAATCTGTTGCTTGTAAATTCGTTAACATTATGCATTTTATCTTGAAAAAATCATGAGAACAGTGCTTGAAACCACACAGTGCGCCTGGTCCTATTGGATGCCTTCATGCTACTGTACAAACACAGATCATGACCATGCAGCGTAACACTGTGACACTGTAATGATGCACACCAGATGCCTCTGCTATTACAGGAGTCAGGACCACCATAATGTTTAACAGTTTGTGACGTCGGCTGGATTTGGCTTTTCCAGATGTAAGCAAAAAAGTCAAGGGCTACTGCGACCGTGTCATCCTGGCAGGTTATGTAGATCGGTGCATTAATTTTTGATACAAGTTTTTGACGGAGATGTCGATTCATTTCTGAGGCACCAATCATGTTGTTGATTTCGTCAGATTGAACACTGTTTATTTGTGTGGCCAATGCTCAGTTCAGACCAAAGATTTGCAAAGAGACGAACTGAAACAGGCAACTACTTGCAATGCTCTGGTCTGCAATGTTTGAGAAACCTGCCAGTTCACACCGCTGCAACTTTTCTCTGCAACGTTCTTCGTCTTGTTGCAAATCTTTGGTCTGAACTGGGCATTACATGTATGACAAGGACTTTTTAGACTCCTTAGAGCTACACTGAATACCTCACGTTAAGCTGAGTCTCACATAAAAATAACACCAATAGGATCACACTCTGTGAAACATTCTGCGATCTGAACTTAATGACTTGCTCAGTTATTAGCTTTATAATTCTGATTATCTTAATATGAAGTCATCAAAGTCATTTTCTCTGTCCCCTGGATGACTGCATGCATTTACAACACTGCTTTCACCATTTTAACGGCATATCGCAAATTACTGTTCACTGTAATTAGCAGCAGTATCAGAAAGGATTTGGAGAGTTTATAACTTTAGGAGTCACACTGATGGTAGTTTTGCACCACTGGCTTCTCAACCAAGCATCAAAAGCTAAACATCAGGATTGTATCTGCAACAAAGCATCATCAGTAGACACATTTCACCATGATCTGAACCTTAAATTGTTCATACACACATTGTAAACAAATCTTGATGGCTGTTATATATCATAAAGATGGGAAAAGCTGAGATTGAAGTGTCAAGAACCCCAGTTACTTGCTATACAACAAAACCTTAACTTGTCTGGTGCCACTTAGAGGCCTAAATCAGGCGAGATTTTCTTCTTCTACACCACAGGAGTTTTGTGTCCTCCATGTGAGAGCTTGCCTTACTATATGACACATGATCCACCTCCCTGCTTGTTTCATACGAGCAAACAGGGCCCAGCACTTTACAACAGAAGTGAGTCCACTCAACCATGTCTCAAACTAACCGACACTGTATGAAAACCACACTCACTGTTTCAATGAAAATACACATCGCAAGCTCTGTAAATAGGTTCGTCGCAATGATTAATAAATTAGCTGTCAGCTACTTTGATAATCAATAACTTGGTTTAAGTAATTTCTTAAGGGAAAAAATCTAATTCTTTTGATTCCAGATACTTGGTCAATTTAATCGACCAATTATAGCCAGATGTTAACACTTAGGGGTGTAACGGTACACAAAAATCACGGTTCGGTACGTACCTCGGTACACAAGTCACGGTTCGTTTTTTTTTCGGTACAGTAATGAAAAAAATAGACAACTATTAAATATCTTTTACTTATTGGTAACCTTATTAAAACATACCACCACAGCAGTTAACTCTTTTTACACAATTTTTGAATGAAACAAATATATATAAAATCCTGCTTTTTCACATTGTTTGAATGAAAATAGAAATATAAAAGTGAAAAATAAAATCCTGCTGTTTTTTTAACACATTTTTTGAATGAAAAATATAAATACACGTTTCTGCTTTCACAGTTTTACTCAATTAAAATAAAAAGTATAGTGCAGCTGGTCAGCTTTAAAGCCTGCTCAGATTCAGTTTTACTAGGAACTTACTTAGCTTTCCCACTTTGTTAAAGTGCAGTAAACAAAACATGCTTATATCTAAAGTGCAGCTTAAACAATTTTACTCAACTCCAATGGCGTTGGTTATTTCTTTAGCACGATGGTCAGGGAAAACGCTCTTTGTTTTTAAACGACGACGATATTGTAGTTTGCACCAGATTGCTTTTTCTAGTCGTGCCGGTTAACGTTCAAACTCGGGTGGTGTCGCTTTAGATGCGTTAGCATGTTAGACGTGTTTCCAAGTACATACCCGGCCGCTGTTCTGCAGTGTCGGCACACTGCTTTTGTCTTGTCAACTTGTTTATTTCCATCTTCGTATTTTACCCTGAAACCAAAGTGTTCCCAAACGGAGGACTTAAGGTTTGCGGGTGGGTCTTCAGGTTCGTCAGGCTCACTTGCCATGTTGTCAAAATGCTAGAATGCGCTGCACAAAGTGAAAGCAGAGATTTACGGTTGGACTCGGTCCGTCGGGGAACTAGATATTTTAAATGGTTCGGCTCGCAAAAACGGAATTAAAATAAAACAAAATAAAATAAAATAATATCCTGCGCCCAGTAATTCGGTACAGGGTCATGCCGAACCAAAAGTCGCGTACCAAACGGTTTGACACAGATATATGTACCGTTACGGCCCTAACACTTATATTTTCATCACTAATAAAATGCAGGGAATATGGTGTTTTACTTAGAAATGATGTCCTTGTGTTACTTTTTGCACTATATCCTACCTCTGTTAGATTGGCAATAATAAGAAGAATTCTGGTACTGTGAACACACATGTGAATGTCTTAATTCATATAGACTTTGCATGATTATTTTATTTCCCAGATGTTTACTGCCTTTTTGCACATCATATTTTTGTGCTTGTGTGGAACAAGCAGCATATGAACAATTTGAACACAAAATAAATCAAAAATATGATGCTTGTTCCACACAATTTCTGATAATAAAAGTATTTGAAAATAGTAAAATGTTCTTCCTTCAATTTATATCTTTTTAACGAATGTCTGAACTATATTCAAGCCATCAAAAGCAGGTATTTCTGGGTTTTTTAAATTGAAAAACATAAAAATTTAATCGGCCGATATGTCGGTTATCGGATTTTTTTTATTCCATAATATCGGAATCTGCATCGGCCCCAAAAAAACCATATCGGTCGGGCCCTACTGACTATCAATGAGTTGTAGACAGACCGAACAACTAATCAATTAATCAAGCAAACAGATGACAGATTAATCAATAATAATAATAATAATAATAATAATAATAATCTTTGATTGCAGCTGTAATAAACAGTGGGGGCTATTGAGGTGCACTGCATTATTTTTGCACAGGTATTTCAGATATAACAGGTATATCCTATTTATAACCTGAGATTCATGTGTGATCAGAATCAGAAACACTTTACTGATCCCTGGGGGGAATTATGTTACATTACAGTCGCTCTGATGAGAATATTAGAGGTAAAAATAGGTATAACGTATGAAATATGTAAAAATAAAATAGATGCATTAAGCTGCAATGGTAACACTAGTATGTATATCTAAAAATATAATATATGCATAATGTGCAGAGAATGTAAAATGTGCAACAAATCTGAAAATATTCCTTATGCTATGTTACAAAGTATAAAACTAGTATGTAAGGTTTAGAAATATAAAAATACGTGTATAACGCCACAATGTACAACACAATATATACATCACTAGGAATAAGAATAATAAGTATAAACAATATGTGCAACATATGTTAAATATACATTCAAGAGAGTGGTGTTGTTGATGAGAACAAGTAAGAATACTGAAGAATACTGCACCGTTGAATATCTGCACAGAGTGCTGCAGCTGAATTATTGCACCAATTATTGTTCACTTAAGAGTGTTACAAATATTTATTAGGCCGTTAAGTCCCTGTTGCAGTTGAAATATCATAAATAAATTATGTAATCATAACTGCTGACAGGTAAATTAAGTCCAAGTGCCAGTCTGTTGACTCAATGTGTCTGACAGTCTTATGAAGGAGCTGTAAAGTTGGAAGGCCACAGGCAGGAATGACCTGCTGAGGCGCTCTGTGGGACATCTCAGGCAGATGAGTCTATCATTGATTAATAACTGTATCTAAAACTATTCTGTCAGATGATAAAATATATTGTGATATAATACTTAATCATCAAGACCTTCCTCCATGCTCAGGATAGTTTACCGATCTGAGGGCAGGATCGTATCCCATCCGAGCATCATTATGCACAGACGTTCCCACACATTGCTGCAGAGGACAGCAATGGACCCTGATACATAGTGCTCACACACAATGGACCCATAAATCAGGCTGCTCCCTATAAACACTGTGGTGTTCACACTGACAGCTCCCTCGTATGGGACACACATGTTGACAACCTCTGGTGTACGCTACAGCAGAGGACGTGCTTTCTGAGGAGGCTTCGACTTTATGGTGTCAGCAGTAAACACGTTTTTATTTTACCACACGATTTTAGAGAGTGTGATCCAGTATGGAGTTCAGGTATGGAATGGAGACCTGTCAGCACAGTTCAACTAAATTCAACCACAAATAACCCTTCCATTAAGATTCCTTTAAGGTCATTCTGATTGATAATAATATACATCTTGTACTACCATGATACCACGATATTTTCTGAGACAGAAAATCTGATGCCATTGCAAGCCTACTTTTTCAGCCTCTATATGAAGAATCTGTGCTCAGGGAGGCACAGAAGACACTGAACAACCCAACACACATACTGAACCCTGACTGGTGTGTGTTTATGTGTGTATTCAGTATGACGCAGGACTAAAAGGCACGGAGAGGCAGCTAATAACTCTGGAACAGTCTGCCTGAGGGTCTTAGGGGCTCTATATCTGTTCAAACTTTTAACTGTAAGCTTGAGACACACCTTTTTACCACTGCTTTCTCCTGAAACTTATTTCTAAGTGATGGTTGTTTTATCTTGTCTTAGGCTGTAGTTTTAACTGACTTTTACTTTATCTTTACCTTTTCATGTGCTCCCCCTCCTCTGTAGACACATTGAAATCGAGGCTGAAGACCCACGTGTTTTCTAAGGCCTTCGATTGTCCTTAAGGTTTCTGTTTTATCTGTTATATTTCATTTTCAGATCTTACTATTCTGTGCTTTATTTTCTTTACACATTAATTTGTGCATGTTTTGGGTTTGTTATGTTGTTTCTCTTACATTTTGTTGTCACCATATTATTTTACTTATTTTATTGTACTGTAGTACTTAAGTCGAGTCAGTGTTTTTAAAATTGCTTTATAATTATTATATTTTTGTTTTGCTTATTTGCTATCATTATTTTCTTATATGATTTTATCACATTTTTTCGCTTATTACAAATGCTTTGCTCGTCTTTTATGTTCAGCACTTTGAGTTGCATTATGAGCATGAATTGTGCTATATCAATAACGTTATCATTATTTTTTCCCTTACCATAATGCAGAGGTTGAGCTTGTTGAATCATTATATCACTGATACTGCACTCAGTTTTTAAACAGTAACATTGCTGTGGCATTTAAACTTGTGTAGAAATTGCAAAAGACACTACTAAGTCCTGGATGTCGCCCCAGGGTTCACATACCTCATGCTCTGAATTCTCCTGTCCTCCACTCTTGCCCACTTTGCCTGACTTAGGGGACTCCTGCAGGAAAAAAATAAGTTTTAAGCACTTAAATCAACTTGACATTAGCAGGTTGACAACATCAGTGAGCAGCCTCAGTGAATGCCGCCATGCAAAAACTCCCATCTAAATATAGCATCCCTGCCCACCCAGTCTCACACTACTGTTTGAATACACTGGCAAGTCTGCTGCTAGCTAGCTAACGGTACTACAGAGTCAACCGCATTCACACGACCCCGGCTTTCTGCTTTATTAACACACACAAAGAGTTTATTTAACACCTACAAACACACACACATCGTAACAAGCGTGTGTATTGACAACATACAGTCTCATGCCTGAATAACGGCTCCATATTGTAATAAAGCAGCGCAAGTGCTAACATGTTGGCAGAATACCGTTAGCGGCTAGCTGGTGATGACTGCAGGTTTGCTAACGACGGGACACTGCGCTGATTGCTATTTTAAACCTCTCGTTATAACGGCGGGTTTATCAATAAATACACCGGAAATCGGCTCCTGCAAAGTTTATTTCCGGTCGTTATAACCTGTTAGTTATTCTCAAACTCACCTTGTCCTTTTTCGTTTTATTCGGCATTGTACAACCGTAGCCGCCCTTGCTCCCCTTTCGGATACTCCACAACCAAAACCTTGACAACTCTCAGGGCACCAAACTGAAAGGCGGTTCAGCCTCTACTCGCACTGTGATTGGCTGCTGTCTGTCACATGATCCCGACGTCACAGAATGACACGCTGAGAGATTGCAGGGCGGTGGGAGCCCCCTGTCGGTGAAAGTGGGCTATTACACCCATACAATGTGATTACAGTGGGTGATGACTACACTTGAGATCACTGAGAGGAGGACATGATGAAGCATACTCAACATGTGCTCCTTAATCAGAGATACTTCATTGATCCTCTGGGTGAAATTGGGCCACATTATTGCTCTCATACATAAGCCATGAATAGAATACTGAATGGACAACCAGCCAAAATGTCACTGTCTAGGAAGAGACTCAAAGTGACCACTCATACCCCTTTTCCACCAACATGGAACCAGTTACATTCTGGTTTCCACACCTAATTTTGGGGGCGGCAGTAGCTCAGTCCATAGGGACTTGGGTTGGGAACCGGAGGGCCAAATAACTACAAAAACGGGCCAAACAACCACAAAGTGACACAAACCTACAACAAAGTAACACAAAGCAACCACAAGGAGACACAAAACGACTAGAGAGAGACACAAAACGACTAGAGAGAGACACAAAATGTCTAAAAAAAAAGGCTCAAAATGATCTCAGAGAGACACAATATTACTTTAGAGATCCAAATCACTACATAATACACAAAACAACTGCAATGAGACACAAAGTGAAAACAGAGAGACCCCAAATAACACAAAAAAGACTTCAAATACATATAAAACAACCACAAGGAGACAACCAAAGGACAACCAAGGAGACACAAAATGACCTTATGGAGACACAAAATGACCAAAAAAGACATAAAATGACCTTATTGAGACACAAAACGACCACAAGGAGACACAAAATGACCACAAGGAGACACAAAATGTCCAAAAAAAGATATAAAATGACCTTATGGAGACACAAAATGACCACAAGGAGACACAAAATAACCAAAAAAGATATAAAATGACCTTATGGAGATACAAAATGACCACAAGGAGACACAAAATAACCAAAAAAAAGACATAAAATGACCTTATGGAGACACAAAACGACCACAAGGAGACACGAAATGACCAAAAAAGATATAAAATGACCTTATGGAGACACAAAATGACCACAAGGAGACACAAAATGACCACAAGGAGACACAAAATGACCAAAAAAGACATAAAATGACCACAAGGAGACACAAAATGACCAAAAAAAAGATATAAAATGACCTTATGGAGACACAAAATGACCACAAGGAGACACAAAATGACCAAAAAAGATATAAAATGACCTTATGGAGACACAAAATGACCACAAGGAGACACAAAATGACCAAAAAAAAGATATAAAATGACCTTATGGAGACACAAAATGACCACAAGGAGACACAAAATGACCAAAAAAAAGATATAAAATGACCTTATGGAGACACAAAATGACCACAAGGAGACACAAAATGACCAAAAAAAAGATATAAAATGACCTTATGGAGACACAAAATGACCACAAGGAGACACAAAATGACCAAAAAAAAGATATAAAATGACCTTATGGAGACACAAAATGACCACAAGGAGACACAAAATGACCAAAAAAAAGATATAAAATGACCTTATGGAGACACAAAATGACCACAAGGAGACACAAAATGACCAAAAAAAAGATATAAAATGACCTTATGGAGACACAAAATGACCACAAGGAGACACAAAATGACCAAAAAAAAGATATAAAATGACCTTATGGAGACACAAAATGACCACAAGGAGACACAAAATGACCAAAAAAAAGATATAAAATGACCTTATGGAGACACAAAATGACCACAAGGAGACACAAAATGACCAAAAAAAAGATATAAAATGACCTTATGGAGACACAAAATGACCACAAGGAGACACAAAATGACCAAAAAAGACATAAAATGACTTTATGGAGACACAAAATGACCACAAGGAGACACAAAATGAACACAGAGAGACACACAGTCACCACAACATCTGTGTGCCAGTTGCCTCACAATCCGCCCATAACAGAGGAAGAAAAACAGACATAAGTATGTGAAAATATGTCCGTTTTGTTACAACGTATAACACAATATATCAAAAGAAAATATAAGAAATATGTACAAACATGTGCATCATGTTGTATTCATCAAGTCCATGCATCCATGGCTTGTATAAGACATGCAGGTCTGGCCCCATGTCACTGTCAGATCTATGAAGGCGTAACAGGCCCTATATTTATGATTCAATCACATTATTCAGTCAGAATTCTGAGTCAAGTTTTTATTTTATTTTAATTTAATTTACTTATCTGACCCAAAACCACGATCACATGACGTGGAGCACAAACATAACATACAACAGGCCTAAAATGACGTCACACAGAGTGGCTGAAGTACAACACACACAAAGGAACACAGTCTGCAAAAAAAGCACCTATTAACAAATAACTTGTGGCTTATCTGTAATAAATGACTTTAAACATAGATCGGCAGTTTGATATGATACTTATCTCCTAAATGATTGTCAATACAGATGATGCAGATCCTCTGGTGTCTGTCCAGCGGTTTGGGGAACTCTGGTGTTGTTTGTTCTAATGTTCCAAGTAGCCTGTCTGTGTTTTTGGTTTCATGCAATGGACACTTTTCCTGTCTGTATCTACTCACTTTCTGAGGATCTTCTTTCATGTTAATATACTCACTGGCCACTTTATTAGGTACACCTATTCAGCTGCCTCTTGTTCCAACCAAGGTGTGCAGAAGAGCATCTCTGAAGCAACAACACCTTGTCCAACCTTGAAGCAGATGGGCTACAGCAGCAGAAGACCACACCAGGTGCCACTCCTGTCAGCTTACAACAGGAAACTGAGGCTACAATTCACCAAAACTGGACAATAGAAGATTGGAAAAACCACATTCAGATGGAAGCATGGATCCATCCTGCCTTGTATCAACGCTTCAGGCTGCTGCTGCTGGTGTAATGGTGTGGGGGAGATTTTCTTAGTACCAACTGAGCATGGTTTAAACACCACAGCCTACCTGAGTATTGTTGCTGAGCGTGTCCATCCCTTTATGACCACAGTGTACCCATCTTCTGATGGCTACTTCCAGCAGGATAACGCACCATGTCACAAAGCTCACATCATCTCAAACATGACAATGAGTTCACTGTACTCCAATGGCCTCCACAGTCACCATATCTCTGTCCAATAGAGCACCTTTGGGATGTGCTGGAACGGGAGATTCTCATCATGGATCAACTGTGTGATGTCATCATGTCAATATGGACCAAAGTCTCTGAGGAATGTTTCCAGCACCTTGTTGAATCTGTGACAACAAGAATTAAAAAGGGGGTCCCACCTGGTACCAGAGAGGTGTACCTAATGAAGCGGCCAGTGAGGGCATGTTTATTTTCTCAGTCTGACACACCAAAGAGAATGACAATCATTGCATGGAAAGCTTGCTTACACAGATCCTCAATGGCCGTTATAATTCATAATGAACCACAGATATTTCATTGGGTCATCGTGGGGAAAAAATCAGCTGTGGTTTTTCTGAATTAACGAGATAATGATCTCGTTCATTCAGAAAAACTAGGCACAGTTTTTCATGTAAAAATTTTTTTTCAGAATTCTGAGACAATGATGTTGTTAATTCGGAAAGCAGGGCAGTTTGTTTTCCAGGAAAACTTTACTCAGAATTCTCATTCTGATGTTGTTAATTCAGAAAGTAGGGCAGTTTGTTTTCCAGGAAAACTTTACTCAGAATTCTCATTCTGATGTTGTTAATTCAGAAAAACAACTGAACTAAGTTGCAGTGAAATACAGTTTTTTTTTTAGCAAACTCCTCTCTGGCCCAGGCTTCTTATATATTAATATATGCTGGGTTTTATTTAATTTTCTACACCAAACTGAACACACGAGACAGTCATTCACAGAGTTGAAAAGTTGCATCATATGAATAAGTCTGAAAGTTCATCTGCTACTTGTAGATCAGTGAAGATTGTGGTGTATATTTATGTAGAAATATTTTTTTCTCTTTTCTTTTTCTTTGTTTTTTAAGAATTATTTATGCATTGTTATTTATACATTTTTATATATTTTTTTTATTTAGTATTTTTTTCCCATCTTGTGTATGTACATATATTTTTATTAACACTTGGTGACACTGTTTGTTAGAAAAAATAGTTCAATAAAATATTGATGATAAAAAAAAGGTTCTCTTCCTGTTTTTGTTTTTTTTATAAATTTTTAAATATCTATTTTATTGGCAGTGAGAAGATTTACAAAAGACAATTACAAATACTTTACTTCATGCCTGACATTTATATCAAAACAAAATCAAGTGATTAAAGAAAATAAAAAGATAAACATGCAAAAAAAACAACCCACAAAAATCATTAAATAAAATCAAAAATAAACATCCGGGTTCAAGTTAATTTTCAGATTCCCCATCAAAAGCCATCTCGAATATCTGAGGGAATATGTTACTTTTCTTTTACTGTCTCAAAGTCACATTTTGACAAATTACATCCCAAATAAAGAGCAATTAAAAACCTAAATTAAATAAAATAACACTGGGAAATTACACTTTTACTTCTGACTTGTTATATTGTTCACAAATTCCTGAAAACATAAAATTTCCCACTGAAAATTTGTCAGTTTCCTTCCCCATTAGCTGTATTTTGCAGGGATCGATTGCTGACACCAAACAGAACGATGCACAGCAGAGAACAAGTGGCAGGAAAGGTAATATTCAAGTTATACACGTGTCTCACAGAGAATCTTGTTTACGAGGTCTGATAAAGTCAACCCCACCGTGGGTCACACAGCTTTCTAAAACATTTGAGGAGCCTGGTAAATCTGTCTTTGAATGCAGCAGCTCGGTGTTGCATCACTGCCATCTACTGGT